CCAGGTCGACATCGACCCGTCCACCACCACCCTCTGGGTATGCCCCTGGAGCACCTTATTCTACCAATAAAATAGACTCACATGAAGTCTGGATGATATGTGACTATTAAAAATTAAAAGCTAGGGTATCACAGAGGAAGCTAAGAGGGCAATTATGAGCACCTACACATGTGCTCCAGGCTGGGGGGCGAAGGGGGTTGCATTTTAATCAGAGTGGTTCCGGGGGGGGGGGATGCTAATTAAATACCTGCAGCATCTCGTGTATTCAGCGTCCCACGTTTCACTATTTGTTTGAGAACATAAAGTGGAATGTGGCTCATTTGATGAGCTTTAGTTAAAGTGCTCCTGCTCCCATTTTGAAATGTGGGGATGCTGAATACATGAGATGCTTCCCCATGCTGGAGTGTTATGTTTAGAATCGATTCCCGTTGCTTTCTAATCAGAAAGCTTTGGAAAACGTGTAAAAGTGCCCTGTGATCCCATTTCAGTGCTAACATAATAAAACATTTCATCTCCTTGCTTGATCTGCTGCCTCAGAGCCTAGGCTGCCTTTCAGCCTAAGGAATGGCCAGAAGATGATTCAGTACTTTCTGCCTTGTTCTTGTGCACCAAAAGATTTCCTCTATAATATGAGGGGAAAGCCAATCAAGGGGACTTTCTAAGGAGCTGTAATGAAGGAGATATGCAAAATGGAAAGTAAATAAGATGGATTCAAGCCATAAAGATTGCCTCTTAGAAACCAGAGGAAAGACTGTAATGGCTGTGGAATTCAAATGGGTGTTAATTTCTGGAAGGGGTAGAAGGTGCCGGCACTAAAGGTAATAACTAATAATCATTCTTAGCAGTTCAATTATTACTAAAATACCAGAAGCATTCTAAATATTCTGAATTTATCTAGTTGTGGACCCTTCTCTAATGTCACTCTAAAGCTCCAGGCACTAGCTGCTTGGGGAGAGCATGTTAGAGAAAAAGATCTGATAATCTGATCTGGCATAGCAATTCCTATGTTCTTAAATTGCTCACTTCTTTACTAATTCTACTCTGATTAACTTATGGCACCCTTTTAACTGCACATTTATTTGTGACTCAAGAGAATGGTGACTTAAACAAAGCTGACTGGTATTTCAGTTCAAGATCAGAACACTAATAGTGCTGTCACTATTCATTTAAC